GTGCATCCCTCATTCCCTTTTCGTTCAAGTTTGGAATTTTAAAAATTATTGGCGGAAGACGAATATTCGAGCAATGAAGCATACACCAACCACTCATTTATTCGAGGAAAAGAAGAATGTGCATCCCCCATTACCTTTTCATCTAATTTTAATTAAAGTGTTTTATTCGGAAGATGAATATTCAAGCAATAAAGCGTACACCAACCACTTATTTATTCGAGGAGCAGAAGGATGTGCATCCTTCATTCCCTTTTCAACCGATTTTATTGAGAAAAAAGATTTTTGAAATGTTTTGATTAAGTAGGGAAAAATACTTGATGTTGATAAAGTGTTTTGATTCACATTTTGTTTGAAATGGATTTAATGATGAAATGGTTTTATAATTGATAAAGAAGTTTATTTTGTTTTGAAAATTAACTTGATGTTTATCAAATTCTTGATTTTGTTTTGAAAAAGATTTATTTTATTTGACCTTTTTATCTAATTAATTAATGTTAATTAACTAAATGAAAACAAGGAAAATAATTATAAAAGAAAAAAAATGGTGAGGGTAACCCTAATGGTTTGGCCCAAAACAAACATGGAATATAAAAAATAAAAATAAAAATAAAATGGGTGCAAACTAGAAAGTAAAGGGAATGCACTAAGTAAAGGGCGCTCAGTCAACAAGAGAGGGGAATAATAACTCAATCAGAAGCGTCAGATGAGTCAACTAGCACAAGTTAAGGAGATCAAAAGTTCAGAGCAAGAGCTCATACATGATATCACGGGGACTCTTGTGCAAGAGTCCCTGAGTCAATAGAAAAGTAAATCAATCCAAAGCCAAGGGAATGGGTGACGTGCCCAACGAGTGACCAAACTTGTGCTGAACAAAAGAGAGGAGTTTCACATCCCTCTCTCATTTCCCTCATTAGTTTCTCTCTCTTCACTTTCTAAATGTTCTCTCTTATATCTCTAAAAAAACAACCAAAAACATGTGTTTTCTACCTTTTTTTGGATCAAACAAGCCTCTAAACCCATATTTCACATGAACATGACAAAGAACATTATATAAACCATACATCCATGGGTGTTCTTCATCAAAAACTCTAGAACCCACAAAGCCTACCCAAATTGAAAACTATAAACACAATCCTAACCTAACTTTACACCATAAACACAAATCTACCATAAAAAACAAAAACAACATCACATCAAGCAGACTAAACCTTAACCCGCATAAATCCTATTTCAATCGATTTACAGGCATATAAGCACAATAAACAAGGGGAAAGGAAATTTGAGCCTATAACAACATTAATCAAGATAAAACATGAAGAAAAAACTAAAAGCTACCTAAATCGGGGGAGATGGCGTCTCATGAGAAAGATTCGGCGAAGGCAAATTCTCAGGTATGCTTATTCTCCACTTTCTTTTCTTCTCTTTTTCTTTTCTCATTCTTTCTTCTGACTCTCTTTTTATCTTAATTTTCTTTTCTTCTGCTTACATGTCTATTATTGCTGCTGTGACTATGATGGTGGATGTTTAAAGCTCAACTGGTTTAAAGCTTCAAGGTGAAGTTCTATCAGCTTGTGAAAGATAGAGCTTTGGTGAAGTTTTGGTAATGGCAGTGGATGGTCGCAAATTTCTTCAGAGAGAGTTGCTACTTAGTTGTTAATAGGTGATGGTTCTTCTCCTCTTGAGTATAAACATAGTAGGTTTATATAAGGTTCAATTAGGTTAAGTGTAAGTTTGTGAAGGATGAAGTGTGTGGAATTTAGTGAGATATTTTGCAAATTTGTTGCAAACCATGTGCATATCGATGAACTATTATTGATTAATCATGTGAGTTTGCATTTTAAGATAAGAATGGGATGATAGAGTGAGGTTTTGAGTGAAGATTCTCCCTGATTTTGTGGGATTGAGGGACTGAGTCGAGTGGTTGTTTTTCCATGTGCTATGTAATTCAACAAATTTCAAATTCAAATTCCATTTTTGTTCAAACTCTGTTTTGGTTTTTATTTTGTTTTTGTAATTTGGATTGGGATGGTGGTTATTATATGAAAACTGTGTAATGCAAAATGGGGTAACGAACATGAAAAACACAAATTCAATCCAACGTTAACTTGTTTACCTTGTTAATTTGATTTTCAAATTCAACTTGACAATTGTTTGATGATCATGTATAATCAAATGCCATTCAATTAACTTGAATTTGAATAAAAAGTCTTGGATCAATGTTTTTTATTTTGAATATGGTGATGGTGAATTAATCATGAAGGAATCGTGTGGTGTAGTAACAAGTTTGATGAAGTGAAAATAAAATGAAACCAAATTTCCATTGAAATTCTAGTCTAAATTCTACTTTATTTTGATTCTTTTGTACTTCAACTTGAAATGAGTACCAAATGATAATTATGGTGTAAACATATGATGATGTAATAAACTTTTTTGAATGAAATGAAATTCAAAATTAATTAATTCAAAATCTGTCTGGCCTTAACCTTAAGTCATGTTATGCCATGATAAACTCATAGCCAAGTTTTATTTCACTTGTCCCTTACCTTTTTTTTTTTGAATGAAAAACAAAGAACATCATATGAAATGATGGAATGATAATTAGTGAATGCATGGATGTTATTATAATGGTGAGAATTGATATTCAAAATTGACTTAAATGAACTAAAAATGAATTGATGCATAATGTGATGATGGGCTAAGTTACAATTAAAGGTAATTAGAAAATGTTGACATTTTAAAGTTGACTTATGATCTAACTAGGCTAATGTCATGCCTATGATGAATGAATGAAATGAGCAAGGGGAAAAATTGGGGTATAACAATATCTTTCCGAAGTTAGTTTTCTCTTTTTTTCGGATCAAACAAACAATTTTTGGCCCGAGGGATTAGAAAATTAATACTTAGACTAGTGAGTTGTACACTAAGGGATTGAGTGTAGTGGTAGGGTTAATTCGTCGTGTAACTCTTATGTCTCTGCATGTCTCCTAACACTCATTTCATCAATAGAATATAAGTAGGAGATTCTAACGAAAAGACCTAATCGCCTTTATAGTTGCATCTTTTTTATAGTCAATTTTCTCCTGTTTTTAGACCAAACAAACAATTTTCAAACAAACCTCCCATTTGGTTATGTTAGCTCACACCCGTTTTCCTTGTTAAAATCTAATCCTCATGGAGATGAATCTCTTATTTTATTACTCCAATAGATACTTGTACACTTTCTAGTTATTGTCATCACTCAGCGAACTGCTTCAAATGTAGGTGCAGATATTTAGTTTATGCTCCATTAAATTGTTCAATAACTTGCAACATTTTGAACATCATTAAATTGAACTCAAATGATACAACAATGATCTAAGGGATGTAATGCTAATGTATAGAACGCTTAAATCAAACATAATCCATTACCCAACGGTTCTTTCTCTATCATTATCCATGTAAATGGCGGTGGAAATAAAAGACATGTTTCTTGGCCCTTTGAAGTTGATCACCACTTGTTAAAGAGCAAGTTTAATTTTAGATCTTTCCAAAACTCTATTTCTTCTAAGATGTATCTTTATCAATTATCTATTCTCTTATTTGAGTGTCTTATCCCTAATACAAAAGTCTTAATTGTGTTCAGCCTTGAGACAAATGACTCAAGGAGCAGTCTTAAGGTTTGAATTGACCTAATAAAAAGTGAGGTATCATGTTATCTTAATAGACCATCACTTGCCTCCTTACATTGAAAAAATTACTTCAACTAAGAGAATAGATAATTAGGTTACTATAAATTTATGTTAATGATTTTGACATGGTTACCCAAATCACACATGTTAGACACTCGTCAAATTATTAGTAACAAAACCAAACAAGTTATCTATTTAGAAAAATACTTGAAATTATAAAACCGTGTTATCCTTGAGAATGATGTCAAAAATTTATTGTGTTAAATATAAATATATATTTTAAAAGTGTAAGTATACCCTATCCAAATAGTATAAAAAGATCAAACCTATTAAATTTGTTATGCTACCAACTTCAAGATTCTCATAACAAATGGCATGTTTGTACAAAAACAAGATAATTTTTTTTGATTTTTTCCTAAGTTAAACCAAAGACTAAAAGAAAACAATAAAAGTAAAAAATAGTTTTGGAATCAATAGATAAAAATAAGTCAAAGATATAGATTATTCATAATATCACACAACAACTCTAAATTCTCTTTGAAAGAACTCTGTTTGTCTACCATTAATGAGAAAATAACAATGTATTGAAATTTTCAATTATATCTATCTTTGTAAAAAAAATTAACTTACAAACACAAATTAACATCTCTATTTATATGAATATCAAAGGATAACATTTAATTATTATTTTAAACTCCAATTTGATTAGTGTAATATAATCATGTCTTATATGAAATCAAACATTTCATTTTGTGTTTATCCTAATACTCTTGAGAAATTCATACAAGGTTCAAATATAAAACAAATATTAAGATATAAAACCCAAGAAATATATTTTTAAATTATAAAATAAAGTTTAAAAAAAATATACAACAAATATTATCATTGATATATAAAAAAATTGAAATAATTATTTAAATGGGATAAATTGTGTTTGATATAAAAAAACTAAGAATTATATCATACATAATGTTTGTACTCGTCAAGATCAAGAGGATTTGACAAATTGAAAAATGATAAAGAAATGGGGTGTTGCGAGAATCGAACTCGCGACCTCTCGCACCCGAAGCGAGAATCATACCACTAGACCAAACACCCGATTTGTTTTTTGATTTCGTTGATTTTTATTTTTTTCTTTTACAAACTACTCAGAGAGTTGCTCTTGTTTCCTTCTGTTTCACAAAAAAAAAATTTAACTAGGGTTTCACTCACAAATTCTCGATTCAGAATTTCACCCTTTGTTTCAAATCAATCATCAAGAAACACATTCACCCATTATTTCACTTCAAACTCTCTCTATAATCTTAATTCTTATTCAATTTTCGAACAAAAATGTCTAACACCAGCAACAATGTAAGTGCAGAATTCAAATCCTCTCTCATTTCATCTCCACAATCATTCCATGGTTTAAAGTTCAATTTTTTTTTTCAATCAAAAAAACTTGTTCGTCCAAATTCTTAATCTGATTTGCTTGAATTAGGTCGCTGGGGTTGACAACACATTCAGAAGAAAATTCGATCGTGAAGAGTATCTGGAACGAGCTCGGGAGCGTGAGAGACAGGTAAGTTATTAGCGTTCCTTCGATTCTGAATTTTCTTTTTGTTGAATAGTTTTTGTTGGTTAATTGTGATTTTTTTTGTATTCAATATTGAACAGGAGGAAGAAGGTCGAGCAAAACCTAAAGGTGATTTTTTTTTTTTTTTTTTTACATTATATAATCTTTCTGCTGTTAGTTTTGTGCTTGAGTATAATTGAATGGTTTCGTTAGGGTTAGATTTGTTTTAAAATTTGAAGTATCATCGCAATGCTTTGAGTATTGGCTCATAATTATGTTGGAACAGGTAAAGGTCCTCCAGTGCAGAGGAAGCCCTTGAAGCATAGGGATTTTGAAGTAAACCTTGAATCTCGCTTGGGAAAGACTCAGGTAGGCTTCTGAGGACACTAAGTTAGACACCCGTAATTGAAAAAATATATTTTCTTTTGATTCTGTCGAAAATATGTGTAAGTATTTTGTGTTGTGGAGTTTTAGATTATGATGAGGCATCCGTTGGTTTGAAATTTTGTCGTGCCATTTTGTTGTACTTATAAGTGTACTTGTTTTGCAGGTTGTAACGCCGGTTGCACCACTAAGTCAACAGGTACCTGCTATTTTATTTTGTATCTGTGTAGTTTGAAATTGGAAAACATTATTCTTTTCTCACGTTGATACCCTGTTCAATTTGGCCGAGTAAATGGGCAAATTAGTCCTCGTGTCGGTAGCATACTCTCAAATTGGTCTCTTACACTGATTATTTCATAAATACTCTCAAATTGGCCCCTTACACTGAATATTTCAATAGGGTCCCCGACTCTATTAAAATGCCAAGTTGTTCCCTATATATAACCACTTACTATAAATTTGCCCCCTATATTTAACCACTTATTATCAATGTAGTTCCAAACATTAATATCGAAGGATTAATGAGTAGAATTTGACTGTGTCAAAGACTTTTTTGAAATATTTATACTATGAGGAACCTGTGTGAAAAGCGTCCTACAGAGACAGGAACTAATTTGTCAGTTTACTCCTCTTGTTAACCTTTGTTTCTTTTGTTGGGGAGATGTTAGGAGTCATGGGTGATTAAGTGTTATGAGTTTTTCAACTGACTTTCAAACTTTGCTGGTTAAAAATATGGGCACATGTGTCGTTGAGTGCAATGTTTTCCAAATTTCTATGGACTTGTCGGTGTGTGTTTCATCATGTGTGTCTTGTATAGTACCTTTGGTTTTAATAATCTATATTGCAGGCTGGATATTTTTGCTCAGTTTGTGAGTGTGTGGTGAAGGACTCTGCAAACTACTTGGATCATATTAATGGAAAGAAACGTACGTAGGTTATTTTTGGCATGTTTCCTTTGATTTTTCGGTGTATATGTTGCTTCAATTGCCTTCACTTTGCTCATGGTTGATATTCTTGCATTATCCCACAGATCAAAGAGCATTGGGCATGTCAATGCGAGCTGAACGTTCTTCTCTCAAACAGGTACAGTGATAGATACCAAAAAATGAAACAAAAAAAAGAAAAATACTGCATTGATATCGATAGAATCTGACCTCTATTTAAGTGATATCAGGTCATAGGTTTTTAAAATAGAAAGTAATTGCATTAACACATGTAAAACCATGCCTAAACAATTGGACAGTGCCCAGTCTCTCCCTAAAGTCCTAACTGGTTCCAGCATACATACCCCTCCTCTCCATATCCCATCCACATACTCCCTTTCCTGCAATTCACCTCCCGCGCCCACCCCCTCTACTAAAACCTCTAGGAACTGAGTCGTGCCTAGTCTATATATATTTTTCTTTACATGCATGTATGTGTACCACTGCGTTTCATTTGGTTTCTGTAGTTTAATATGTGCCTCTGCATGACAGTTGTAAATCTTAATGATGAACACAGGTTCAGGAACGATTTGAATCTCTTAAGAAACGCAAAGACATTGGAAGCTTTACAGAGCAAGGTAAAATTTATGATTATAAGGGAACTGGCTATTTGTTAAATCAAATGTTGTAATTGTAAAATCTATATATTGTTCTGTTTCCTTCTTAGAAGTTCCACCGACCTTTCAATCAAGTTCGGTTGTGGATCCTTAACTAAAATTTTGGAAGTCATGTATCAACTTGGTAACATTTTAATTAGTATTAATATTTTGACTACTACTAGGAGAGTATTATGTAAAATTTCAAAGTATTCATGCTGAAATTTTAAATTTTTTGACAGCACCCAGTCTATACTATAATGTTTAGTCACCTTAATGTGGAAATTGAATTTTACTCTTTTTGCAGATTTTGATGAAAGGATTTTAAAACAGCAACAAGAAGAGGAAGAAAGAAAACGATTGCGTCGGGAAAAGAAAAAAGAAAAGGTCTGAACTGTGCAGATTAAAGTTTCATATTTTCAATTATTACAGATGCAAAATCTCGGAAAAATCCTTTTTCTCTCCCCCCATTTCTGTCTAACTTTGTACTCTCTGTTTTTCTTTGATTAAAATGTCATAACTGTTAATGAATTCATCTATCTTTCTAAAACTATTTCTAATGATATTTTAACAAGTCAAGATTCCATTTTTCACAAAGCAGAAACTAACTAATGTTCAATTTATGATTCAGAAGATGGAGGCAATAGAAGAACCAGAAATCGATCCTGATGTTGCTGCCTTGATGGGGTTTGGAGGTTTCCGATCATCCAACAAAAAGTGACATTCTTTCACATGAAGGATGAGCTGTGTATGAGATTTTGAGCAATTTTGTGCAGCTGAATCTGGCAGCTAATTGTTTAGTTCTGGGTTGCTTAAGAATGAATTTATGGTCAAAAGAAAAATAGCGGGATCAAACAGTATGAAAGCTGGTCCATAGTGTTATATTCATTCACAAGATTCCTTTGTTTACTGCACATAAGTTTAAAACATGTATTCTCTGCTATTTGACAACATGCCATGGCTATATAAAACCAGTATGAACATTTGATGCAATTCTATAGTGGGCTAAATGCTTTGCGAGGGTGAGTCTATTTTGATCGACGAAGATCACTATGATCACTACAATGGGCTTTGCAGATCTCTACATGCTCTTGTTGGCCAATAATTATAGGGAGTTTCATGTTTAAAAATCTGTCAAAATACACACTACTAATAAGGATCTTTCTGGTAAAGCACTCAAGTTTTAGGGGATGAATGGAGAGACTCTTATAATTATACATGTTAAATTAATAAATTTCTAATCAGAATAATGAGCTGGATATATTTTGTTATTTTTTCATACACTAAGACAATATCTGGTTATATATATCTACCGGTTTTCGACACCAGTAAACATTATACCTGTCAAAGATTTTAATATAACCAAATGAAAAAGCAGAAAAAAATATATTGAAAATGAAGCAAAATTAATATACAAAAATATACAAAAATAAAAGTTAGATGTTGATAGCAACACTGTATTGCAGCAAAATATTGCTTGGAAAGTATGTGATGTCATTTTTGTTTTGAAGAAAGTGATGAAGGGAATGAAAGTTTTCGAATAAATGAAGATTGTGAAGTTTTACCAAGTGACGCAAAACTGGAGATGCAAAGGGATTGATACTAGGGGTGGCAAAATGGATGGATTGTATGGATATGGATTGGATTGTTAATGGATGGATCAAATCAATCCATTAATCCATTAACAATCCATTAAACTCTCTTAATAAAAATCCAATCCAATTCATCCATTAAAAGATAAAATTCATCCAATCCATCCATTAACATATTTCTAATGGATGGATATCCATCCATTCAAAAAATTAATTTAAAAATTCTTAATTTAATAAGTGACAACATAATATCCAATGAATTTATAAAATGAGATGGATGAATTGAATTCATCCATATGAGTTAGTGGATGGAGTGAATCAAATCTATTAAATTATTTTTTGTCTTATGGATGAATTGAATGAATATTATCTAAATGAATTTCATTGTCACCTCTAATTGATACACATAATCTCGCGTGATAAGTAAGTACTCTAACATCTGAACTATCTCTCCATCTGAGGTTGAGTTCTAGGGGATTTTTTAATTGTGGAACTTGAGATTATTGAGTTTCGAATTATAGGTGGTGTTTAAAAAAGAAATTCAATATTGTTTTGTTATTGAGAGATGTTACGAGTAATATATTGTTTATTTTAGGATTTGCTTTTGGAATAAAGATAAATACAAAGAATCGATCATTGACAGTAATAATATCTTCTTCAAAGACAATACTTATTGTGCTTCTTTTCCCCTCCAAACACTACATTCCTAAGGAATTTAGCATTTACCATTTCAAAAATTGTTCTAGTGATAAGGTTATAAAACTTGTACATATAAGATTGTTTGACGTACCTACCAAAATAGTATCTAATTGTCTTTGCGTCTAACTTATCTTCATGAGGCCTAAAGACCTCGCTTTAGTTTGAGATCTCCAAATGTGCAACTGTCTAATGTTGGACTTTTTTTTAGTCTATAGCTCATAAGGAATCTTAGCTACTACTTTACTAGGTACTCTGTTAAGGATAGAAACTTTGGTATTTAATGACTCTCTCCAAAGTAATTTTAGATGAGAAGAATGAATAATCATACTCCTTATCATATTTTTAAGAGTTCGGTTTTGTCTTTTTACAACTCCATTCATGTTGAGTTTTTTCAGCATTGTATATTGTGGAACAATTCCACACTCATTTAGAAAAAGCACGAAGGGTTGTAAACATCGTTCCCTCGGGCCACATACTGACCATAGTATTCACCACCACAATCAAACTTGACGACCTTTATTTCTTTCCAAGTTAAAATTTGACTTCAACTTTGAATGACTTGAACAAACAGGTTCAAAGATTGATGTAATTCTGTTTTTCAAAATACAAGATGTCAGACACAATGTTGTAAATAATATTTATGACAAGATACTTACGTAGCAAACATGATAAAAGCAATATATAAATAATACAGGAATTGATAATCCAGTTCGGTGTAAAACCACCTACGCCTGGAGGACATTAAACCAATGAAAGAAAATTACTCTTAATAGTTAGAAGTACAAATTGGTCTGATTTGAACTCTCCTATTTCAATGTCCTTTTTTTCTAATATGTTTGTGAATTTCTATTCAGGACTCCATATATAAAGAACCCCACTCCTGATAGTCTGAAGTACATTTGGTCTTAACTAAACTCACTTTGTTTAGTGTCGCTTTCCTAATACTACATGTGAAAATTCAATCATGACTCCCCGTGAATTTGAGACACCTCTCACTTTTACTCGACCATCTCCAATGTGTTTATTCAATTACAAAGATCAAAGATAAAACTCTTATAAAACTCAAAAATTCTATTTTGCTAATTTATAATTAATGCTCAAGACTAAACTATACAAACTAAAAAAACAAGACTCAACTAGAACTCTTCTATGTTGTAAATATTTTCTCTAAAGTTCTTAGTCTTCACAAAAGAGATTTCCTCTTTATATAGCAGCAAAAGTTCAACTCCAAATCTTTGTATGATTTTGTCATGAATTCGGGTGGAACCTTAAAAGCACAAGATCAATCTTTAATAATGTTGATTGCAAATCCTCGATTAATCAAACTTTAAATAAATCTAAATCTATTAAAAATAACAAATGTGATCTTGCTATATTTTATTCATATCACAACTTCCAAACAAACACATAATTAATCAAAACTTTATTATGAAGATTGAGATTCTTAATTGATGCAAATCTTGAACAAATTAAAACACCAAAAGCATCTTGCTAAAAAAAGTTTTAGAACAAATCTCTTCCAAATCAAAACAGGTGCTAATACACTTATATATCTGATAGAATAGAAAATGAAGAAAATCTTAGAAGGACGAGAAATACTTCAATTTATCTTGCGCTCCAAGCAAACAGTTTGAGACTGGATATTTGGGACATTATGCTTGGCATCTTGCTTTCCGTGACTCTTCATTAAACAATTTCAATACTAACTTTACCTGATATAAATAGGAATTCCACAATTTCAAGTAAAGGCTTTATAATACAGATTCTTCCAAAACTGAAATGCACTTTAAATCTTCTTTAATAGAGATTGGACATCTTCTCAATAAGTGCAAATTCAAATTTTGTAATTAAAGAAAATCCAATTAAATCTCTTCATGAAACATTTGTTTAATCCATCATCAACCAATATCTTTGCATATCAATTTCAACACAATCTTAGATTAAATAAAACTAAGTCAAATTTTCCTTCAAAACATATTAAATTAAATCTTTTCTTCGATGCAAATCCAATCAAAACTTCTTTGATTAAATCAAATTCAAATCTTTTAATTAATTCATATACAATTAAATCTTTTTCAACTAATATGTACTATGATTTAATAAAATATTTTTCCTAACTACTTTGAATTAAGAGACTTCTTCCAAAAGTAATCTTCTAATCGTACTAGAATTGAACCAGATTTTCTAACGAAATGTTGAAGCTATCATATAACGCAGTCTGAGCAGTACATGCACCAAGATATCACACAACATGTTCAATACATCTCTCTCAACAAGTTGCCTACAAAAATTTTTCAATCAGATGTAACAATAATTTATATTTTTCATGAATCAAATATAGGTAATCATACCTCGAGTAACTGTCTATGAACATAATAAAATATTGTTGTTCATTCCAAAAACCTTTAAGAAAATGACCACACATATATAAGTAATATTTAATTCTAAGACATCCTTAGCTCTTTTGACATGTAAATTCCTTTTGTTTGTTTGCTTACTCTTGATACATAGAATGCAATGTTGAAAATCCAACAAATCAATAGATTAAGCCTATGAATTAACTCTTTAGAAATATGTCCTAAATGATTATGTCATAAGGTGATAAAAATCTCATTTAATTTTGGTTTTGAACATGTGATTCTATTTTTATTATTTTGTTATAAGAATATTCAATATCAATCATATACAAATTATCATTCAAAGAACTGTATCCAACAACATTTAAATTATATGAAAGACTAAATTTATTATTTCTAAACAAACAAACATAATTAGATTTGCCTAAAATAAAAATATAAATTAAATTTTTCGTCTAATTGATGGTGTAAAAAAAGTCTCCACCAAATTCAAATGAAAATCTATATTTAATGAATCTTTTAGCATCACTTGGAGGAAAGCCTCACAGACAATCTTGTATGGACACACTAATGTCAGTAGTAGCATCAGATTGGATTTGGATCCTCTCCTTTTTTATATATCATGTCATCTCTCGGATTTGGATCCTATCCTTTTTTATATATCATACCATCTCTCATATTTCTAATCTAACGGTTCAGAAATTATAATGAATAATTAAATAAAAAACAAAGACAAATTACTTATCAATTTCTCTCTCCTATTAAATGACTTTTTTTATTTAACTATCCATTATAAATTCTGAACCGTTAGATTAGAAACATGAGAGATGACATGATATATAAAAAAGGAGAGGATCCAAACACATAACGTTGATATGGATTCACAACAGGAGAGGAAACTAATTTGCAAAATATGTAATGGATAAACTAAAACGACATACCTTGGATCTGCAAATTAAGTTGATCAATGAAAAAAGTATGGGAAATATAAAGCAACCATGAAGAATGACAAAACTAGGGGAATGGGAAAGGAAGCACAGAGACTTTTAATCTTAGGGTTATAGAAGGGAGTG